CAAGGATGTGGGCGTTGGTATATGAACGACAAAAGGTCGTAATTTCTTTCGCTTTCTTGCAAACTTTCCACTCTCTATGCCCTGGCTCAAGTGCATTAAAAATCATCCGGCGACTTTGTGAACCAGAAACCATACATACTGACGTGCTGAACTAGGGAACAAATGGATGAAACACAATGTAAGCACATTTCTGCACCCGGTAACCACATTTGTGTTTTGCCATCACGGCAGTGGCACAACACAATAACGTTTTTATTCCTATATTGGCGTCATACATTACTTTGTGCTTTTTTTGCTATTGGCGCCAACGAACATAGGACATTAGAACAAGACCTTTTTCGCCGGTGGAACAGTGCGTTGGTATTTTTTCATTGAATTATAATATCTTGATTGTTTTCGGTAACCAGGCGATTATTTGAGGTGAAAATGGCTTTCTATAAAAAGCTTGCGATAGCTTTGGAAACGTAGCCATCGCATGTAGAAAGAGATAACACTTACGCTACGGCAGCCTTCCTTTGCAATTCACGTGCTAAGTAGGAACTTGAGCTACTTAGAAAGTTGAACTACGTAGAAACTTGAACTACCGAGAACTACCGTGAGCCTGATATCCCCGGTACTGTCTGCGTTCGCCAGTGTCGTCCAATAAAAGGTTGCATCGTTTTGAAATGTTGGCCACATATGTTTGACTAAGAAACAAAACATGAATGTGCTGGTATATCCTCTTGACGAAACCTCCGCGCCGTTGCGTGCTGTTAAGATTAATGACAGGGGTTCAATGACAAGGTTTCAATGGATCATCAGAGCATGGCTTTGTAATATTTTTCAACAGCATTACGCTCTCTTTAAGTATCTTGCACCCCTCCAAGCCACTTAATGGATTTAATTTCTTGTTTGAAGGTGGACTTGCAACAGTTTATATCGTTCACAGCACGGGCGCAATGAGCTCTCCGTTCAGTACTGCGGTGCCCCGACTGACAGAATGCTCCCGCAGCTACCTTATCAACCTACTCCTTGTCATTTCTAATAATCCCTTCGCTGTCAAACAGCCTCAACCAACACGGGCGAACTTCACCAAGAAGACCACCAGCAACTCAACCTCAATGGTCACCAGCACCAGACAAAACACAACACATCAATGTCAGCAGACGCATGATTGGGGTGAGGGCGCCGAACAGAATATGCTTAGGTTACCTTTGACCACCTTATATAGCGGTGAACACAGATCAGGAAGCGGAGGGGAAGTTGATCATTCCCGCCCATCCAAAGGTCAACGAGCTAAAATGTTCGGTGACATTTGCATTGACGAGGTGAAATCATTAACTGCACGGCCTATCGAGGGCGTTCAGAATGTGTGTACACGCAGCGTGTTCCCATACCATAAAGCGGTGCTTTACTCACCTTGAATAATAAAGTTTGAAGGCATTAAGGTTGCGATGCGATTTTGGTATTTCTTTCCCGCGATTATTGGTGTCGCTCCCATGGAGCTAAGGCAGACAGAGAGCCGCATTTGTTGTGAACGATTCGGACGTTGAATGCACATGTGAAACATGGCGCATATATGAGTTCGGTCGGGTTCAAACGAAACAAGATACGCTTGAAATAGAATGCTCTACATTTGAAAATATTAAAGCAAGCGCTGGACATGATGACGTAAGCTCACTTATAACTGTTGGTATGCGTCTTAAGTGGAAAAGACTGATGTAGACAACACAATGCTCTGTGTAGTAAATATGCTCCTGAACGCGTCATAGCTTGATTCGGTCTTGTATGATTTTGGTCACCATGATCTTCAAAATGTCCAAACAGGTCGCTGACGTGAAATAGGCATGTGAGGTTTTGCTTAGAACAGTCATCTATATTCTAGGAGCCCTTTAGAGACTACCCTGGAATTTGACATTGCTTGACCCGATTTCACTCAAAGTTCATGACCTAGGAGCCTCAATATTTAATCTAAGTGAGTTCACGTATAATTCAATACACCCTGTGAGTATTGACCTTAGTTCTCTCTTAGTTCCTGGGATCTCACAGGGTCAAACTGACCCCCACCCGAGCGAAGGGTGTCCAACCGGTCACCCGTGCGCGTATAAATCACTGCATGGCTTGTGGAATGACAGAATTTGAATGACGATATGGTTACGTCATGGATACCAAGATGACCTTGAAATACTCTGCCGATGCAGCTTTCCCACTGTCGTGGGCGTATAGCTCAGAAGCTAGAGAGGCTAATGTCTTAAAAAGGGCAGGATTGTGAACAGTATCGAAAGGTCCTCAAGATAGCTAGTTCAGGTCAAAACAGCAATGTGGAACACT